TCGTTATTTATCAGGGAAAAATTCGCCGGCCTCCTTCGACCTCGTTATTTATCAGGGAAAAAATTCGCCGGCCTCCTTCAAGCAGGCACCGGGGGACAGGTTTACCTACTAAAAGAGAACCCTGGGCTTAAGCCCTTTCCGGGAAAAATTCGCCGGCAATTCGCCGGCTCGTTATTTATCAGGGAAAAAATTCGCCGGCAATTCGCCGGCTCGTTATTTATCAGGGAAAAAATTCGCCGGCCTCCTTCAAGCAGGCACCGGGGGACTAGTTTACCTAGTACAAAGAGAACCCTGGGCTCTTGCCCTTTCCGGGAACAAGCGTTTCGCTCGAGACATCCTCAAATTTTAATTCGCCGGCCTGAAAAACAAGCGTTTCGCTCGAGACATCCTCAAATTTTAATTCGCCGGCTCGTTATTTATCATGGAAAAAATTCGCCGGCAATTCGCCGGCTCGTTATTTATCAGGGAAAAAATTCGCCGGCAATTCGCCGGCTCGTTATTTATCAGGGAAAAAATTCGCCGGCCTCCTTCAAGCAGGCACCGGGGGACAGGTTTACCTACTAAAAGAGAACCCTGGGCCTACGCCCTTTCCGGGAAAAAAATGATCCGGCGACGATGTTTCTACAATTTTTGATAATTTTTGAACTTTTTGAGAATACATGTCGGTCGGAAGAAGTAGGTAGAAACAGTAAGTAGAAAGGCGGATATAGTAGATTGGGTCCAGGTCCTCCCAGAGAATAACACAACACAACAAAAGCATGCCGATTCTTGAAATAGGAAGGCGCTTGAAGTAGATTGCGATCTGGGAATCCAAAAATACAAACTTTCAACGACCGGCGTGTATTTGACATTTTTCTGTCAAAATCCACCTGTAGAGGGACATGCCCAGCCTATCGCCAGAGGGGCGGCGGGCTCAGGTGGGAGGCATCGAGCAAGACTCGGCCACACATCGCCGACACACATCCGCAACAGGCCCCCGGTGCCTGGGCGGGGCTTTGGCTGTCGGGCTCCTGTCGGCGGTCAGTGGGCGGTGGGGTGTCGACGCACCCCCTGAGCGTAAATCGGGCATGTCCCTCTACAGCGGGAATATTCAAAAATATTCAAAAATATGAGTGTTTTAGTTAATTGTGCCATTTGAAAGTATTTGTTTAGTTTTATTTTTCGTCGAAAATCCCCATGTACAGTCGGAGCGTTGACCCAAGGAACCCTAAATAAGGGACGAGGCCCCTTAGATCCACAAGTTGGACTTCGATTTCCCATCGGAAACCAAAGCAAAATCCAAGGCAAACTGTGAAGCAATCAAGGAACACGGAGCCCCTCCCCAACGAAAAGGGTTCCTTCTTCAGGGCCCCGACTGTAGGGGGACAGGCCCAACTCAACCCTGAGCCCGTCCCCCGCTGACGCTGCACCTTTGGTTCTCGGACCACACCTCGATTCTCCGGCGGCCTTGCGGCACGATCCGGGCGCCCCCCGAGAACGCCCTCGGCGAGGCGCGGCTGCCGGAAGGCACCCCGAGGCCGGAAGACCGACGAGAACCCACGAGAACGTCTCAAGCCTCTGACCTCGAACCCTGAAGTGAACACCCTACAGTCGGGGCGTTGACCTAAGGAACCCTAAATAAGGAACGAGGCCCCTCTTTCCCAAAAGTTAAACGTCCATTTCCCATGGAAATCCTCAGGACAACCTGAGGCAAACTGTTAAACAATCAAGGAACACCGAGCCCCTCCCCAACGAAAAGGGTTCCTTCTTCAGCGCCCCGACTGTAGGGGGACAGGCCCAACTCAACCCTGAGCCCGTCCCCCGCTGACGCTGCACCTTTGGTTCTCGGACCACACCTCGATTCCCCGGCGGCCGTGCGGCACGATCCGGGCGCCCCCCGAGAACGCCCTCGGCGATGCGCGGCTGCCGGAAGGCACCCCGAGGCCGGAAGACCGGCGAGAACCCACGAGAACGCCTCCTCGCCATCGCTCGGACGTCCATTCCCTGTGTTTTTTTCGGTTTCGTGCGTGGCTTTTTCGCCAGATGATCGAGGATGCTCCTCGATGGTCCTCGCCGAAGGAAAAGTAAACACGTCCGAGCGATGCCAGGTCTCAAGCCTCTGGCCTCGAACCCTGAAGTGAACACCCGATCACCCCACTGGGCCCATTCCCCCTCTAAGGAACCCTAAGGAACCCTAAATAAGGAACGAGACCCCTCTTTCCCAGAAGTTAAACGTCCATTTCCCATGGAAATCCTCAGGACAACCTGAGGCAAACTGTGAAACAATCAAGGAACACCGAGCCCCTCCCCAACGAAAAGGGTTCCTTCTTCAGCGCCCCGACTGTATCACCCACGGAGCCCATTCCCCCCCCCCCCCGTCGTTGCCCCCCTGGGGGGCCCCGACGCTCGGCGGCGGCGGCGCTCGGCGGCGCACGCCTCGTGCACATCGCGGCCGCCCGAAGCCGCCCCCAGCCGGGGGAGGGCGCGGCGAGGGCGGGGCGGGGACGCTGGAGGTGGCGCCGCCCGGGGGGGCAGGGCGGGCAGAGAGGGAAAGGACACGAGGACTGCGGTCGGCCTCCTCCTCCTCCTCCTCCTCCTCCTCCACCTCCTCCGCGATAAGGATACAAGGACTGCGGTCGGCCCGTATCACTAAGGGGCCACATGCGAACCCTACCCCACCCTCCCCCTCAGAAATCGTGGGGGGTAGGGGTAGGGTTCGCATGTGGCCCCCGAATCATAAGGATGCGCGATGAGGATACAAGGACCCTGGACGCCCATCCCGAAGTTTGTCGAGCGGGGCGTGGCCAACGAAAGCGGCCAAGGATGGACCGAGGAGGGAAGGATGCCAGGGTACCCTTGGGAAGGCTGTCCATCCTGACTACGCGGGATGACTGTATGACTTTTTCAACCCCCGTCTGTATATCTAATGTGGCCGTCGGGGACCGTTTTCGGGATCAGAGACAATCAAAACTGCACTCAGGACACAAAAAAGATGGCCTGGACCTCTGGGGCCGCGGATTGAAAAAAATCGGCAAATCTAAGGGGGGCGTCTCCGCCATCGCCGTCGTCGGCAGCGTCGTCCAAGGGTACCCTTGGGAAGGCTGCCCATCCTTACTATGCGGGTTGAGTGTATGACCAAGACTGAACGCGGAAGCGTCGGTGCCGATCTTTAGGCTTCCCAGGTGTGGTCGGAGCAGATAGGGTCGGAAGATCGCGCCGCAGTGTCGATGCATCGCCGAATGGACGGTGTGCTCCCTCTTCATCGCCAACGCACTCGACTTGCAAGCAGACCTTTGAACAGTTTGAGGGCTTCCTCGGCGCCGCTGTCGAATGGACTGTGTGGTCCTCTCCACATCACTAGTGCGCTCGATTTCCAAACGCAGCTTTGGACATTTTAAGAGCTTCATTGGAGCCGCTGCCGAATGGACTGTGCAGTCCCTCTCCTCATCGCCAATGCACTCGATTTACAGGCTGACCTTTGGACATTTTGACAGCTTCATTGGCGAGGCTGCCGAATGGACGGTGTGGTCCCCCTCTTCAGCGCCAATGCTCTCGATTTAAAAGCGGAGCTTTGGAAACGCTGAGGGTTTCATTTGCGCCGCTGTTGAACGGACTCGTACTTTGGATGCCAGAAACAAGGGGCAGGGAGATCCAAAGGGTCCTCTTGGGAACGCCACTATTGCGTTAATACAGAAACGGCTCAAAACAAGAAACGCAAGATCTTGGCAATGCCGTAACTTCACTCCTGCCAGTCACTCGATTCACCGTTGTGTACATAGAGACCCCTAGGTCGCGTCTGGGCCTTCTGGGCCCTACGGGCTGCAACCCAGGGGAGAGTTGCAGACCGTAGGGCGCGACGCATCACTTGAGTCAATGCTTGAACAACTGTCTGCCTTCCCCCCTTGGCGCGCCGCTGAAGAACTTGGAGTCCCGAAACGGTGCGGTGACAGACCGTGCGGTGACCTCGAAATCCCCCAAGACCTTACCGCACGGTCAGTCAGCGCACGGTTTGAGACCCTGGAGGCTCCAGTGGCCCGAGACATCCTCGGAGAACGACCCGAGTCCCAAAACCGTGCGGTGACCCCGAAACCCTACCCACTCACCACATGGTGTGGTCGCCACCCCGCTTGGGGGGCCCCGAAAGAAGTACATGCTCATATCATGCGCCCTCACCGAAGGCGACCGCCAGAACCGAACCTGTAGCTTTGTGGATGCCACGACAATGGGCACCCTAATAGTCCTATCATTGAATTCAAAATATGTTGAGAATGTAGGAAAATGTTCTACACATGTCTTAAACATGTTCACACATGTTTAATACATGTTTAACGCATGCTGTAGACATCTGGAAAGTATTTGACAACACGCTTCCTCTCCAGTGAGCGTCCTCCACAACTGTAGCTCGAGCATGCTACAGCACATCGCTGCCAAAAGCGGTTGGCCAGAGCGAGCGCCCGCTACGGGGGTCCCACTGCAGCAGCTCTGAGCGCGAGCGCCGCCCCATGCGAGGCCGACGCGAACAGGGTGGAAGCATGTCGAGATGGCGCCGAGCGTGTTCCTCGAGGAGGAGGGAGCAGGTGAGGGAAGGAGAGGAAGAGGAGCAGAAGCAGGAGGAGGAGGAGGGGAGGAGGAGAGGAGGAGGAGGAGGAGGAGGGGGAGGAGGAGGAGGGGGAGGGGGAGGAGGAGAAGGAGGAGGGGGAGGAGGAGGGGGAGGGGGAGGAGGAGGAGGAGGAGGGGGAGGAGGAGAAGGAGGAGGAGGAGGAGATGGAGGGGGAGGAAAAGGAGAGGGAGGAGGATGAGGAGGGAGCCCGACGTCGGTGCCTTCTCGACGCTGTGCGGTTCGTGGTTACCCCGCGCAGTCTCCTCAGTCGTCGTCCTCCCTGCTTGATGATGTGACTCGTAGTCTGCACACTCTACCAAATGCAAATTGCGTGCCCCAGCGTCCGTATTGCTGCTGACATGGCAGCAGGCAGTACGTATCACATCATGGTGAGTATTGATCGTAGCAGTTCGTATGTTACCTGTGAGATGTGCGATGTCGCTGTGCAGCGTCTCCTTCTGGCTACTGCCGCTACCAATCGCGTCCTGGTCCTCATGCGGAGCTGGGGCGGCAACGCTCGGCGCCGCAGCTCTTTGCTGTCGCCAAGACTCTGTCGTCTCTGCGAGGCGCCACTCGGAAGCGTGATGCTCGGTACCCTGTCAGGCCACGAACTCAAACCCCCGTCGCCATATCTTTTCACAACGTGGACCCCCGCATCGGGGGCGCGCAAACATGGATCAGCGATCCATGCATTTGGCGAGCGGTCGCCAAATTCATGGATCGGGGGAGGTGCACTCCCCAAAATGCGGCCGGTGCCGCCTCGTTCGGCGGCGGAGATCCGCGATTTCTCATGAGAACGGGACCCGTCGCGAATCCACGCCCCCTCAATTCATGGTTGCGATCGCCTGCCCGCAAAGGCTCAATCCGTTCCCCTGGACAACTGTTGCTCGCCCCGAGAGGCGTCGCTTGACGGTCCCAGTGCCAGAGCGAGAGAGCCCCCGGAGGCCAAAAAAACGCCCCCGTCGGGAGACGAAGCGATCCCCACGATCGGCGCATTCTGATGGGCATGTTTTCCGCCACCACCACCATAGTTGGAGGGGGGAAGGAGGTGGAGGACGAGGATGAGGAGGATGAGATAGAGGAGGAGAAGGAGGAGGAGCACCCCCTCCCCCTCCAACTTATGGTGGTGGTGGAAACAGGCCCGTCACAGTCGACGCGGGCGGGTTAGCGGGAGCCTGCTTGTGCCAGTCGTCCAGCGGCCTGGTGCTCGTCTGCCTGCGAGAGCGCGCGCCAAGCTCACGCGGAAGCTTGCTCGCTCTGTCGAGGCCCGCGCGCGCGCATCGCAGCGCGTGCAGATGGTGAGGTGCTGGCCATTCTGCGGGCGTTCAGCCGGCCTTCTGATACCTTCTGCGTCTCCTCCCCCTGGCCCTATGCTGCCTCCCGCTTCTCCTCTCCCTCGTCCCGTCTCCCCTCTTCTCCCTCCTCCTCCTCCTCCTCCTCCTCCTCCTCCTCCTCCTCCTCCCACTCCTACTCATCCTCCATCATCATCATCATCATCATCATCATCATCATCATCATCATCATCATCATCATCATCATCATCATCATCATCATCATCATCATCATCATCATCATCATCATCATCATCATCATCATCATCATCATCATCATCATCTTCATCATCATCATCAGCAGCAGCAGCATCATCATCATCATCAGCAGCAGCAGTAGCAGCATCAGCATCACCATCCGCATAAGCATCATCATCAGCATCAGCATCATCATCATCAGCAGCAGCATCATCATCATAATCATCCGAATCATCATCATCATCATCATCATCAGCAGCAGGAGCAGCAGCAGCAGTAGCATCATCATCCTCATCATTATCATCACCATCATCACCATCATCATCATCATCATCATCATCATCATCATCAGCAGCATCATTACCATCGTCATTGTCATCACCAGCATCATCATTTTCATCAGCACCATCAGCAACAGCATCATCATCGTCAGCCTCATCGTAGTCGTAATCACGAACCTCAGCATCGTCATGATCATCATCAGCAGCATCATCATCACCAGCATCATCAGCACCATAACCATCACCATCATCATCAGCAGCAGCAGCAGCATCATCATCATCATCATCATCATTATCATCATCAGCATCATCATCATCATCATCATCATCATCATCATCATCATCGCCAGCATCACCATCATAATCATTAGCATAATCATGTTCATCAACAGCATCAGCATCATCATCATCATCATCATCATCATCATCATCGTTTTCGTAAACAGCAGCGTCATGATCAGCAGCAGCAGCATCATCATCATCAACAGCAGCATCAGCGTCATCATCATTATCATCATCAGCAGCAGCATCATCAGCATCATCATCATCATAATCGTCAATATCGCCATCATCGTCATCCGCATCATCATCATCATCAGCAGCAGCATCATCATTAGCCTCGCCATCATCAGTATCATCATGATCATCATCATCATCATCATCATCATCATCATCATCATCAGAATCATCAGCATCAGCATCATCATCATCATCAGCATCATCATGTTCATGAGGATCATCATCAGCAGCAGAATCGCCATCATCATCAGCAGCATCAGCATCATCGTCATCGTCATCACCGTCATCAGCATCATCATCGCTATCATCAGCATCATCATGAGCAGTATCATCATCAGTAGCATCGTTGGCATGAAAATAATAATCATCATCATCAGCATCATCATCATCATCGTCATCATCAGTATGATTATACTCATCATTAACAGCATCCTCATTAATGTCATCATCATCCAAATATTCAGCATGATCAGCATTATCATCATCAGCATCCGCATCAGCATCATCATCATCACCACCACCACAACCATCATCATCATCAGCATCATCATCATCAACGCCATCGTCAGTATCATCGGCATCATGATTATCGTCGTTACAATCATTATCATCATAATCAAAACCGTCCATCATCCATCAGCATCATCATAGCTATCAGCATCATCATGACCAGCATCATCATCCGCATCATCAACATCATCATCATCAACACAATAATCGGTATCAGCATTACTACGGTCATCATCATCCCAGGTCATCAGCATCATCATCATCAACATCATGGTCCTCATCATCCGCATCATCGGCATCATTACCTTCAGTAACATCAGCATCATCACCATCAACGTCACCACCATCATCATCATCCGCATCATCATCAGCAACACTAACATAGCCACCGCCATCGTCGTCAGAACGTCATCATATTCAACATCCCAGATCACCAGCATTCTCAGCATCACTGTCATCGGCATCATCATCATAAGGAACATCATAAGCATCATCATCAACATCATCACTACCACCACAACCATCATTGTCACCGTCATCATCACCACTATCTTCATCATCTAAGTCATCAGCATCGCAATCATCGTCCTCATCGTCCTCATCATCATCACCACCACCATCATCTTCATCATCACCACCACAACTACCACCAACACAACCTCCAAAACCATCATCAGCATCATCACTATCATAATCAGAATCATCATCATCAGCATCCTCATCAGCGTTGGCATCTTCATCAACATCTTCATCATCATCATCATCCTTCATCATCATCATCATCATCATCATCATCATCAACATCATCATCATCATCATCATCATCATTTGCATCATCAGCAGGGGGCCGCCTGGCGTCACAACCCCAAGCTGCGCGAGCGGTCTCAATCTGCGCGGCGGCGCAGCCCCAAGACCCTCCGATTGCCGCTCGCCGCGTTCCACCCCGCTCCAGGCGGGCGGCGAGCCATAGCAAGCGGTCCTCGGTGCCCCTATGCGCCGTTGACCTCCACGTCTGCGACCCCGTGGAGGGCGTCGATGCCGCTGGTGATGGACGCCAGGGAGGCGAGGTAAGAAGTCCAGACACCAGAAGGGCCCCGAGCCGCACCTCGGCGGAAGCCCGAGGTGCGGCACCGCAGGCGGGCCTCCTCGGGCGGCCTCGCCTGTCCGACGACGGACTCCAGCGCGGCCACCCGCATTTTGCCAGGGCAGCGCGCTCCGCCCCTGTCAGCATCTGCCGCTGCGAGCCGCAGCATCGCCTCCCTCTTGGCGGCGTCCCTGGGAGCGCGGCAGCAGCCGCAGGCCTCCCGCCCGGCCCGCGCAACGCAGTCGCCGTGCACAGAACGCACGGCTCGCCGCCAACCCTCGAGCAGGTCAGAGTCTGCGCGGGCTTCGCGGACCTGGAAAGGCAGGAACACAGGGAGGAGAGGCTGGGGGAAGAGGGGGATCTCCTGTAGACAAGCCGGTGGGGTGTCGTGGTCGCTCTGCGCTGTCGCACAGACCTTGGCGAGGCAAGCCACAGGGACCGGCAACAGGAGCCAAATGAGATACCCGACTCACCTCCTCCTCCTCCTCTTCCTCCTGCTCCTCCTCCTCCTCCTCCTCCTCCTCCTCCTCCTCCTCCTCCTCCTCCATCCGTCGCCCATCATGACTCCTCCTGCTCCTCCTCATCCCCCTTCCCGACGTTCCCCGCTTTTCTGCCCTCTCTTCCTCTTCTCTCCTCCTCACCATGCTCCTGCTCCGACTGAAGTGCCTTTCCTCATCCCTCCTCCTCACCCCCTTCCTCACCCCCTTCCTCTTTTCCTCCTCCCGTCCTTCTCATCTGGGCCTGGGGGGGGAATGGGAAACGATATCCTGACTGCGCGTCCCAGCGATCATGCACTGCCGGATGTCCCCCAGGCGCCCTCACCCAGGCGGATGCACACGACCGTGCGCAGGCGTGTCCAATCTGAGTAGGGAGTGGCCAGGATCCTCCTCCTCCTCCTCCAGGGATAGGAGAGACCAAGAGCGCACGAGTCCGACAGCGCACGAGCCCTCGGGGGAGGAGGGAAGACCAAGAGGCTCTCCTTTCTCCAGATGCGCACGACCGATGCTTGAGCCGCCCAAGCTACCGCGGCTGCAAGTGATAGAGAACGTCAGGGCGGCACCCGGCTCAGGAAAGGAGCCATCGAGCTCAAACCAGCGACAAGTCGCCAGCAGACCGGCGAGAGGCCCCCGACAGCGAATCCACACGTTCCTGGGCTGGGTGGTGCCCCTATCTGCGATGAAGGGGCTATTGGGAGCCGATGCACCCCGCCCTGAGCCCATCCTCCCTGACGTGGCCCCTGTTACAAGAAGGGCAGGAACGAGCCCTGGACAATGCGTGGGCGGCCTGCGTTCGCAGCCGCCGCGAATTCCCAAATTATAAAAATCAGACTGCTTGATAAAACGAGAGCGGCGCCCGTCCAGCGCGGTGCGGTGCACAACTGTCCGGACCTCCAGGCTAAACAACTGTGCACCTTGCCATTCCGGAGTCAAGGATCGACCGCGCCTCGGGAGACGCGAACATGGTACAGTGCACACGAGTCGTCCGCGGATGATAAAACAGGGCGTACAAATGACACACCGCATGCGTGGCGTCAGGGCGCGAGTGGCATTAACAGAAAATGTGGTCACATGCAGACCGCAGGCCGAGATAAACAGATTTGGAGGAAGCAGACGGTTCCTGGAGGTAAACGGCTGAACCACGGGGCCTTCCCCCAGCACCAACTCGTCGTCCAGAACCGATGTCTCACAAGCCCATTGGCCCGTGAAGGGCCCTGGGAAAAGCCAAAAACGTGCAATGCCTCGGGGGTCCCAAAACGGTGCGGTGACGGACCGTGTGGTGACCTCGGAATATATCCAAAGACCACCCGTCACCGCATCGTCTTGGGACCCCGAAGGCCCCAGCGACCCGAGACACTTGTCGGAGAACCACCGCATCCCCAATTCGTTCGGTCACCGCGAATCCCCCCCCCTGACTGACCACGCGGCAGGGTCACCGCACCGTTTGGGGGCCCCCGAACTGACTCAGGACCCGTTTTCCTCAGGACACGCTTCTTCCTGCCTGGTGAAGTGCACCGTGCCGCCTCCGCCGCCGCCTTCCGGCGAGCGGCGGCAGGCGCCAGAGAAGTGCTCCTTCGTCGCGGCGCGGGCGCCAGACCTCAGGGCAGCCAGAAAGCATTCACTGCTGGGGACACGAGGCCCGCAGGGGGTCGGGGGCCGAGCGAAAGAGGGGGGAGAGAGTATAGCGGGGTAATCGGAGGCGGCGATAGGGCCCACAGCCCAGAGGTGAGCAATACTTGCATCCAGGGGCGCCGATGGTCCATGTCTTCGGCGAGGCTCCCCAGCGGACAGTCGAAGTGCCCGCCCCCAGTTGGCGGCGCGCACAAGGGGGCAGGGGAGGGGGGGAAGGCCTTTTAGAGGGAGGCTGCTTCTCAGAAACCTCCCCCCCCTCCCCCTACCCTTAGGTCGGGCGTGTCTCCTACAGGCGGATTTTGGCCGAAATATAAAGAATACAACCCCTGGAGTAAAAAGTCCGGACCGCAGAGGTCGGGGAATAAGCCTTGTTGTTCGGCTCCCGTTAGGCCACGGGGCCCCGGTACAATGTTGCAGGGGCCGCCACGGTTAAATGCCCGGTCCATCCTCACTCCCTCTAATATAATAATCGCCAAATGGGGTGACGACCAGAAATCCGCATTCCTTCATACTTCCTCCAAACATGATGGACCCACGAACCCGGAAAGGGATATAGACATGTGGAGCATGGACACGTTTTCACGATACCCAACTGGGCAACACCTCACGAAACATCCCACGAGACACCTCACGAAACAGCCCACGAGACACCTCACGAAACATTCCACGAGACACCTCACGAAACATTTCACGAGACACCCCGCGAAACATTCCACGAGACACCCCACGAAACATTCCACGACGACAGGCAACCACTCAACCAAGGCGGTGTGGTCGTGCTGGGGAGTGGTCGTGCTGGGGTGTGGTCGTGCTGGGGGGTGGTCGTGCTGGGGGGTGTCGTGGGGGGTGTGTCGTGTGGGGGGGCGTGGTCGTGCTGGGGCGTGGTCGTGCTGGGGCGTGGTCGTGCTGGGGCGTGGTCGTGCTGGGGCGTGGTCGTGCTGGGGTGTGGTCGTGCTGTGGTAAGGTCGTGCTGGGGTGCGGTCGTGCTGGGGTGTGGTCTTGCTGGGGTGGGGTCGTGCTGGGGTGTGATCGTGCTGGGGTGGGGTCGTGCTGGGGTGTGGTCGTGCTGGGGTGTGTCGTGCTAGGGTGGGGTCGTGCTGGGGTGGGGTCGTGCTGGGGAGTGGTCGTGCTGGGGTGTGGTCGTGCTGGGGTGTGGTCATGCTGGGGCGTGGTCGTGCTGGGGTGGGGTCGTGCTGGGGTGGGGTCGTGCTGGGGTGGGTTCGTGCTGGGGTGCTCCGCACCCTGTGATTTATCGATCGGGTCGTGCTGGGGTGTGGTCGTGCTGGGATGTGGTCGTGCTGGGGTGTGGTCGTGCTGGGGTATGGTCGTGCTGGGGTGGGGTCGTGCTGTGGTCGTGCTGGGGTGGGGTCGTGCTGGGGTGTGGTCGTGCTGGTGGTCTCGTGCTGGGGTAGGGTCGTGCTGGGGTCGGGTCGTGCTGGGGTGTGGTCGTGCTGGGGTATGGTCGTGCTGGGGTGGGGTCGTGCTGGGGTGGGGTCGTGCTGGGGTCTGGTCGTGCTGGGGTGTGGTCGTGCTGGGGTATGGTCGTGCTAGGTGTGGTCTGGCTGGGGTGGGGCCGTGCATGGAAACAAGCGTTTCGCTCAAGACATCCTCAAATTTTAATTCGCCGGCTCGTTATTTATCATGGAAAAAATTCGCCGGCAATTCGCCGGCTCGTTATTTACCAGGGAAAAAATTCGCCGGCAATTCGCCGGCTCGTTATTTATCAGGGAAAAAATTCGCCGGCCTCCTTCAAGCAGGCACCGGGGGACAGGTTTACCTACTAAAAGAGAACCCTGGGCCTACGCCCTTTCCGGGAAAAAATTTCCGGACGCTTTCCAGGCGACCGGAAATTCTCCACGTCGACCGGAAATTGGCGATCTCGCTTGGAACTTGATCGCTAATAAATTTCTGGTCCCAGTTATGTCGCTTGGAAGTTGCGATTATGCTTGGTACTTCTTGCCAGTCATGTTTACCTCTCGGGGAGCGACGATGCAAGGGGGCCTGCAGTGCCGATCCGGACTTTTTAATCCAGGGGGCGGCTGCAAAAAATGGCGAGTGCGCTTTGTTCGGCGTGGGCGCCCGCTTTTTAGGTAGACGCGTAGCAAATGCGCGAGCGGTGGCGCTCTCGCGGTGGTGGTTGCAAAAAATTGTGAATGCGCTTTGTTCGGCGTGGGCGCCCGCTTTTAGGTAGACACGTAGCAAATGCGCGAGCAGTGGCGCTCTCGCGGTGGTCACTGCAAAAAAATGACGAGTGCGCTTTGTTCGGCGTGGGCGCCCGCTTTTTAAGTAGACGCGTAGCAAATGCGCGAGCCGTGGCGCTCTCGCGGTGGTGGTTGCAAAAAAAGGTGAATGCGCTTTGTTCGGCGTGGGCGCCCGCTTTTGAAGTAGACACGTAGCAAATGCGCGAGCCGTGGCGCTCTCGCGGTGTGCTGCAAAAAAATGACAAATGCGCTTTGTTCGGCGTGGGCGCCCGCTTTTTAGGTAGACACGTAGCAAATGCGCGAGCGGTGGCGCTCTCGCGGTGGCGGTTGCAAAAAATGGTGAGTGCGCTTTGTTCGGCGTGGGCGCCCGCTTTTTAGGTAGACACGTAGCAAATGCGCGAGCCGTGGCGCTCTCGCGGTGGTCACTGCAAAACAATGACGAGTGCGCTTTGTTCGGCGTGGGCGCCCGCTTTTTAGGTAGACACGTAGCAAATGCGCGAGCCGTGGCGCTCTCGCGGTGGTGGTTGCAAAAAATGGTGAGTGCGCTTTGTTCGGCGTGGGCGCCCGCTTTTAAGGTAGACACGTAGCAAATGCGCGAGCCGTGGCGCTCTCGCGGTGGTCTACCCCCTGGAATAAAAAGTCCGGACCGCAGAGGTCGGGGAATAAGCCTTGTTGTTCGGCTCCCGTTAGGCCACGGGGCCCCGGTACAATGTTGCAGGGGCCGCCACGATTAAATTTCCGGTCCATCCTCACTCCCTCTAATATAATAATCGCCAAATGGGGTGACGACCAGAAATCCGCATTCCGCCTAATACGTCCTCCAAAAAGATTTCCGGACGCTTTCCAGGCGACCGGAAATTCTCAGTGGCGACCGGAAATTGGCGATTTCGCTTGGAACTTGATCGCTAATAAATTTCCGGTCCCAGTTATGTCGCTTGGAAGTTGCGATTATGCTTGGTACTTCTTGCCAGTCATGTTTACCTCTCGGGGAGCGACGATGCAAGGGGGCCTGCAGTGCCGATCCGGACTTTTTAATCCAGGGGGTGGTAGTCAAAAAGTATTTAATCATACCTAGTCTCACAAATAGTGAACAAAAAACTCGGCGTTTCGGCATTGGGCGGAAGGGGGGGGAGGGGGAGGGTCTGGCTCCGGACCTCTGCTTAGTGCGACTATTTGTGACCGTGCGGCCTGTGGGGTAGAAGGACTCCACCTGCTCGAAACAGGCGCCAGAAACAGCCAAGATCTACTCCATCGGGGGGGGGGAGGGGGGGTGCGAGGGCCCGCGCCGATCGGCAAAACAATGAATAAAAAAACGCGCGTGGCCGACCCAGGCGGTTCGCCCCCCTCGAGTCGCCTCCGAGGCGCCGGCGACGCGGCTCGTGCAGCTTTTGCTGCCTTGGCGCCCCGCGGCGAGCCCCGAGGCGCCAGCCGGGGAGTGCCCCGAGGCGGCGGGGCCGAGGCCAGCTGCGCGCGCGGCAGACCTCGCCCGTCTCGGCGGCGAGCCCCCAGAGGGTAGGGGGGGGAAGTGAGAAGGGGCGGGCCTTCTCAGTAGAGGAGGGGAAGGAGGAGGAGATGAGGAGGCGGAAGAGGAGGAGGAGGAGGAGGAGGAGGGCGAGAGGGGAGGATCGGCGGCCAGCCTTGGGGGAGGGGGGGGGAGGAAGTGAGGCGGGGTGGGCCTTCTCGGGAAGCCCAGAAGTGTCCCCCAGCCCTCTGAGAGAAGTGTCCTGAGCCTTCCCCGAAGAGGCACTGGAAACTGATCCGAAGGCGCGAGGACTTCGGACAAGCCCTGCCGCCTTCTGAGAAGGCCTCCTCCTCCTCCTCCTCCTCCTCCTCCTCCTCCTCCTCCTCCTCCTCCTCCTCCTCCTCCTCCTCCTCCTCCTCCTCCTCCTCCTCCCCCCCCCTCTGACTCGCCGCCGAACAGCCGCCCGCCCCTCCCCCGCCGGCCCCCCCCCTCTGCTCGTCCAGCCGCATCGGCGGGGGGGGGATGGGCAGGGGGGGGGGGCCTGTGCCCCCCTGCCGGGGCGCCTCGCGCCTCGCCCGGCGCGGCCCTCCTCGCCCCGAGGGGCGTACGCAATAACGCAGGCGGGTCTGAAGGACTGAAGGAGAACCGCTCTCTGCACTGCTCCTCGAAGGGTCGGCGGCGGGCGAGGGGGGGAGTGAGGAGGAGGAGGCCTTCTCGGGAAGGGGCAGCGGGAGGAGGCCTTCTCACAAGGCGGCGGGGCTTCTCGTAGGCCCTCGCGCCTTCCGAGGATCGTGCTGCGTCGTCGGGGGAGGCTTCTCGGGAAACTCCCCAGAAGGCCAGAGGACCCCCGAGCATTCCTGAGAAGGCCCGCCCCCCGCCCCTTCTCACCTCCCCTCCGGGCTCGCCGACGAGACAGGCGAGCGACGAAAAAAAACGAGTCTCACGCGAGAAGCCATAGCCTAAGCGACCTCACGCGGCGGCTCGCGCGCGCCGCCGGCTCGGCACGCCACCTCGGAGGCGAGGGCGCCCACGCGGGAGCTCGCGCGGGCAGCTTGCTCGCCAAGGTCGGTCCAGTTTTCTCACGTCGCTCGGGTGGCGTCGTAGGCTTGGGGAAGAGGGTGGGGGGAAGGGCGGAGGGGAGGAGCGGAGGCCCTCCCCCTCCTCCTCCTCCTCCTCCTCCTCCTCCTCCTCCTCCTCCTCCTCCTCCTCCTCCTCCTCGGGAGGAGGGAGGAGGGAGGAGGGGGAAGTCAAGCTAGGTGCGCTCGCGTCATATCTGACATCCTACCCCTCCCTCCCATCCCTTACCATGGCGCAGATCCCCTCTCTACTCGCACAGTCGGATGTCGAGCAGGGCAATGATCCCGAAAGGGTACGCGATGCATTGTAGAGCACGGCATGGCATGGCGTAGAAGAGCACCGCAAAGCGTAGCATCAACCTAGCATTGCATTGCATGCCGTGGCATGGCACGGGAAATGACGCCAACGCTGCAGCGGGAGCACGAGTCGAAACGAGCGGAAGCGCGGAAATGAGGCCAGCGCTGCAGCGGGAGCACGATTCGGAACGAGCGGAAGCGCGGAAATGAGGCCAGCGCTGCAGCGGGAGCACGATTCGGAACGAGCGGGGCCCGAAAATGAGGCCGGCGTCTCAGCGAGAGCAGCATTTTGAAAATAAATGCAAGCGAAAACACAACTCCGGGGAAACCTGTGTAAAAAAACAGTACGCGGGGGGGGGTCGAGCACTTTCAAACCGTCATCAGGGGAAGAGGGAGAGTAGTATTCATATTGAGTAATTGTGGAGAGGGGGAGGGGAAGGGAAGAGGGGAGGGGGAGGAGGAGAGGAGAGGAGGGGAGAGGGGGAGGGGAGGCAAGCTAGGTGCGGAGGGGAAGGGGGAAGGAGGGGGAGGGGAGAGGGGGAAGGAGAGGGGAGGAGGGGAGAGGGGGAGGGTGGATGGGGCGGAGGAGAGGAGGAGAGTGGAGGAGGTTAGGAATCACCACCTGGGAGGCCTTCGCGAGAACTTTTGAGGGCTACGAAGCCCGGCTAGGAGGCACGCCAGATGGCCCAGAATTAAGCCGGCATTCACTGAGGGTTACGGACCTGGCGAAAAAAACAGAATTGCAAGGAATGTGGCTGGGTTCCGGCCACACACATATATCTATGCATATATATACACACACATACACATGCATATATACATACCACTTCCGATGCCGAATCGAACCTCTCGTTTTTGGTTGCATCCTAGAGGAGGGGAGGGGCTCGAACAAGTGTTTCGTTGAACAACTGCGTTGCGATAGCCACCAGTTCAGCGGGACGTGCCAGTGTTGAGTCGAACTCTGGCGGAGAGCGGAACGAATGCCACTCTGGCACTTAGGCACGGGCTGGTCGCAGCAGCTGGCAACAAAAAACGAATCGAAAACATCGCTATAGTCATCGTCGCATCGTTGCCCATCTGACCGAGAGGGGAGGGGTCCCCTCCTTGTGTTCGCAGCCGTCGCCGAGTCATGGGCAAGCACGGATTGACTGCCACGGGCAAGGGTATAAGGCGTAATTGCCACACAAGCAGGGCATTCCCGTCCCAAGCAGAGCACGACCGACAAGTAGAAGTGGGCCTAGAAGGAACGTGGAGGGGGGGATGAGGAGGGAGCAATGGGGGGGGAGAGTGAAGGAGAGAAGATGGAGGAAGAGTCGGAACGAGAAGGGCTGAAGGAGGAAACAAAAAGAAGAGGCGGCCACGGAGAAGGACCCCACACCTCCCCGTGCCGCAAGCTCCCAAACAACTTCCTCACCCCGTACCTCCTCCTCCTCCTCCTCCTCCTCCTCATCATCATCATCATCATCCTCGTCCTCCTCGTACTGCCCCTCCTTCACGACCTCCCCGCCCTCCTCGTCCGCCTCGCCTTTCCTCCCGCATCTCCTCCGCACCCGGTTCCTCCTCCTCCTCCTCCTCCTCCTCCTCCTCCTCCTCCTCTTCATCTTTCTCTTAGCCATTTTCCAGGTCTCCTGCGGGGGGAGGGCCGTGCGGGCCGCGCGCATGGAAGTTGCGCAGCGGCTCGGAACCATGGCGATGCGCGAGGTGGCATGAACCACCTGGTTATGCGCGTGGGTTCCGCGAGCCTTTTCGCGGGAGTTCTGCTGGCGTCTGTCAGCCTTCCTGGAGGGCGTCAACGTAGAACAGGCGGAGCTCGTCATTGATGGCAGCGCCGGCGACACCACCTCGCCGCAGCCGAGTGTCGTCAGGGCACTGGGCGGCTAATACTACATCGGCGACGGCGGTGACGGCTTCACAGAGGTCGCAAGTGAAGCTGGGGCCGCGTGCGAGGGACACCTGACCGTTGCAGGGCTCGGAGGGCCCGACGTCGCTGCTCCAGCGGGAGCTGCTCGTGGCGTCGGTGGACAAGCTTGGCGAGATAAAGGACTGAACCGCAAAGCGGTGGAAGCAGCCCTGCACGGGGTGCCGGAGATGAAGGAGCTCAAGGTGGTGCTGGGGAGCTCGTCGCAGTGCCGCTGGGGAGCTCCGCAACTCGCGGGGATGAAGCAGGACAGCCTCGCGAAGCAGCCGATGGTGCCGGCGGGGAGCCGTGGGGAGAAGCAGGTCAGCCTCGAGAAGCGACGAACGATGTCGGTGAAGATCTTCGGGCTGAGCTGCACGCCACCGCCGGCAAGCCTGGCGTCACCGCCCGCGCGGTGGGGAGCTAGGCCCCACCCGCAAGAGGCGGCGCTGAACACCCTCCAGGGCATCTCGGCCGCGGCGCCGGAGACGGAGGGGCAGGAGGAGGGCTTCCCAAAGGTCGTGAAGCACACTCGTTGGCACGCAAGCGCACGAATCAGGTCGGACGCCGGGCAAGCAGGGGCAGGCCATGCCACCTGCGAAGGAAAAAGCAGTGCGACGAGCACGCCGAAACAGGCGGGACTCAGGTTGGCAGCGCTACGCGAAGCACAACGAGAACGAGGAGATGGCGAGCCAGGAGGCGGTGCAGCACTTGGACCTCACAGCGCAGCCCGGACTCTCCGAGCAGGAGCCGAACCCCTGCGAGCTGGCGGAGAACGAAACCCTGGCGGAGGTACAGGAATCGGAGAGGAAGGCGATTGAGTCGCTGGTGGGCCCCGCGACGATGCCCAGCCTCCTCGTGAAGGAGACGCACGGGCCCAAGGAGGAGGAGGAGGAGGAGGAGGAGGAGGAGGAGGAGGAGGAGGAAGAGGAGGACAAGGAGGAGGCGCAGATGTTGGACCCCAAGCCGCAGCGCAGCCGCAGCAAGTTTCTCTCGGCACCTCGGGCGCAGAACCAGAAGAAGCACAAGCGCAGATGGAGCGCCAGTGGCCTGTTGCAGCGGCGTCGAGCGTGACGTGCAGGGACGAGCGGCCATCCCTGGAGGAGAGGCCGTGGAGCAGAACGAGGTCGTGGAGCCGTGGCGCTGCCCAGCGGTGGAGTCTGCGGAGGCGGCCTGCTCGACAAGGCGTTAACGTGCTTTGGCGACGGCAGGTGCTGCAGGCCAGGGCTCACGGAGCTCGGACGCGGAAGGACCTGGGGCAGAATCCCCAGGGAGCGTGGCAGCAGCAGGGCGCTGGCACTCCTCAGCGAGATGCGGGGCGCGCCGCTGGAGAGCCCAACGTCTGCAGGAGAAGTCCAAGGACGGCAAGCAGGACCTTCGCCCCCCTCGCGGTCATCGCGATGCCGCGGGCCCCGGCGCACCTCACCTTGATGGGGGACGTGAAGCAGGAGGCCAACACTCTGACGTCGGCGGAGGGCGCACTCAGGAGGCCTTGCAGCCGAAGCTGGGCAGCCACGGGAGGAGGAGGAGGAGTCGGAGTCGGAGTCGGAAGCCTTGGCAACTGGTGAGTCCACTGCTACTTTGCTGGGACGTGTCTCGCATGCGTGCGAGCTCGGTAGCTGCTGGCGGCGCCATCGGCATTACAGGGGGTCAGCCGACGGGGCCCCTGGCCTTGTTAGGCCCGTTTGGGCCCGCTGCAGCTCGGTGCCGAGCCCCTCCAAAAATCACAAGCATGGAACGTAGCGGCGGAGGTTAATGACCTTCAGGCCCATCCCCTCCGACTCGGGAACACGGGTCAAACTTGTGCCAGTCTTTGCCTAGCGAGACCCGTCTACTGTGCGCGCAGCTGCGAAGACTCCTCCATCCCCCCCCCCGATCCCCCACACCGTCCCCCTCCCCACGGTGACGCTCTAAGACACGGGCAGGTGGTGCTCGGGCTCTGGCAACGGCCTGAGACAAGATCCTGCTGCCCCTTCTCTGTCACTCGAGTGATGCGTCCGCTTGCCTCCTGGGGCCTCGGACACTAACAATATTCAGAATCTCCGCAAAATGAAGGACAACAGGAAGAAGAGGCAGAGAGAGAGATAGAGAACAAACAAAAAAAACTGCACGCTCTGAATGCGCATTATGGGGCCCTTGCGCTGCTCATTGTTGGCGACTCAGTTGTGCAAGCAGTGCCTGGGCCCTCTTGCTGCCCCTCTGTGCCATGGCTCGGAGTCCCTCGATATCTACTGCGCCTGCTGCTGGGCGCGCTCTGAGCGCAGCCTGGAGCTGTCTCTCGAGCGCTGAAGGCGGCGGCGCTCCGAAGATCTGCTGGGCCTGCAGCACCTTAAGAGCTCGACATGTGGCCTGCCGAAGGTCCTGCACTCCGAATGTGCCGATCTCGATATCCGTCTTCTCGCTGCCGATTCTGAGCGCGTTCGCCTCGGCCGTCAGCTTTTGTGTCCATGGCGACGGGCTCAGAGGATTGAACATGATGTGGATATTCCATTTCTGCGTTTGTCCTGGCCCCGCGCATGCTTTCTTCACTCGAAAGTATGACAGAATGTTCGCGACATCTTCCTTGTTCATCACCTCGATCAGCTCCGCAAACTGTGCGAGTATGTCCTTCGTCTCGCCGCTGATCTGGTCGCTCTTGGCTAGTTCCAGGAAGAACTCTGCCCCCGTGTGGAGGTGTGGTGACCCCATCTCCTTGCTGCCCTTGGCCTTGACCTCCCCGGCGTAGTTGACACCACCTTCTGCCGCGGCCCCCACTGGTTCGTCGTCGCCCTCTGCCGGGAAGAAGCCCCAAAGGCTGCCCGATACCAGTCGTAGCATTTGGGCGTTGTTGAGCGACATTTTCTGCAGTAGCAAGGTTTCCTCGTGTGTAGCACCCTCTCCTGAGCCAGGCTTGCTGCCAGCACTTTTCTCCGGGCCTCCACGTGTTTCTCTCTTTCGCGCTGGAGCTGTTTCTTCCGCTGCCGCCCACATTGTTCCCGATCGTTGCTTTGATCTCGCGCCGCTTCCTGCTCTCCACGCCATGACTCTCTGATGGGCCGAGCGCGCGGGTGGCTACGTGGAGTAGGTGTTCGTTAAGCTCGGAGTCTTCCTTACCGCAGACTCCGCACGTGTAAAAGCTTTTCTCTTCTGGCTTGAAATCGAGAGAGGTGGCTCTGGTGGGGCGCCGAGGGGGGTCGAAGCGGGACACGGTGATCACGCGCCGTAAACAGGACGCTCTGCTCGCGAAACATGTTCTGCACCAAGGGCATACGTTCGTGCTCACGATCATCGAGTGCACGTTGCGCATGTTGTGTGCGTGCGTGATGTGTGCCGGGAGCGCCTTCACTGTGGTGAACGACATGCCACATCCTCGCCCTTCGCCCCCCTCTCCCATCTCGCACGTGCACACGTACTCGTCTATGATGATGCTGTTGCTGCTGCTGTTGTCCTCCTCGTGCCGGTGCTCGGCGATGCGCGGGGGCGTCGTCTCGTCGATCGTTGTGATTCCAAGCTTTAGTAAGAAACTGGCCAGCTTCTTTGAGCTCTGTATGCTATGGAAACCCCTTTGGGTACCCACTGAGATCTTGGCGAATCTGGCTCCGAGGCCGGGGTCTCTGAATACCTGCAGCACGTTTTTTTCTGTCGGTCCAAATCTTGTCGACGCGGGGGTCGGCGTTCGCCAGAGCCTCTAGGTCGCCCCGAACCTGGCGAGCCCACGGCGCGCAGTGCCTCGCAAGGTGACCCTCTGGAGTGCATCTGGAGACCTCGAGTAGCCTATCCATTTCCAACGCCCCAAAGGTGGCCGCGAGGGTTTGCCTGTGGTTGCTAGGCCCCTTTGCTACTTGCTGCCACCAACGGATTCGCTGTACTCTGAGCTATGTGGCTGTGCGGCTGATGTTCCAATGCTCGAATACATCACTGTTGCTCAATGTCCTAATACGCCCGTCGAACACTCTTTTTGCTTTTCCGTGCATCAAGCAGCGCAGCATCTTCACCAGCACTGTGTCCAGCTGGCTTGTAAAGGACGCAGGCAGCACGGACGCCGCCAGGCCAGCGATGGACGCGCTGCATACAAAGCACAGGAAGAGGGTGCGCAGCAGTCGGTGATGGAGCGGCTGGTGCCAAACGTCTCCCAGCGATCTCCATGCAGCCCTGGCTCCTTTGATGCGCGCCTTCAGCTCTGTTCTCAAAACACCGTCGAAGCTCATGGTAGGCCCCAGGATTCTGGCTTCTCGAAAGACTTCTCCCTGGATTGTTCCTGCCTGGATAGTTATCGTGCCGCTTCAAATGAGCCGTGGCCGTAAAAACTGATAAGATGGTTTGTATTATCCGTGCTAAGGACATGAACGTTCTTGGCGATGTGCTCCTGGAGCCCCCGGGTAGCGTGATTGAGCTGCTGTGTGATGTAGCGCGCTTGCGGTGCATGAGCATGAATATGCAATCGTGATACGTCGTCTACAACTAATCACATGCCAACGTCGACATCGGCTCGGGCAACTGGGCACTGACCGCGGGTTCACGCATAACTTACATCTGCGGCAGCGAGGCTGTCATTCCAGCCCTTCACTGTGGGCGAGTAAATATCCACAAAGTCGCCTGCCGCCAGCGAGTGGCCCATGGTCGCGCCGCGCTCTGGGTGAACATCTGCCGTGTCATCAATAGCTTCAACATGTATGGTTGCTTGCAATGCTGCTTGGTCTGCTAGTTGAACGTATTCTACTCTATATGTGCTGCTGTGCAGGCGTGCGATGCTGCTCTTATGTGTGCATGCGAATGCGTTTGTGCCGCCGTAGTTGATGATGGTATGCCCGAGCTTTGCTCGCCTGCATATCCAGTTTGCTGCTGATAGACTAAGTATGCATCCTTCTCGTCTACGTCCCCTTATTCCTCCGTGCGCAAAATATGGTGGACATGGCCTTCTGGAAGACCTCTGGAGGTATCCGAAATAGCTCGTCCCGAAGGCATCGAAGCAGCGAAGGATCCTCTGTCCCTCGGCACCCTGCTTCTGGTTGTTCTTGCTCTGAGAAAATGCCTGACTGCGTATGCTGCTGAAGGGGGGGGCGAGCCTACAAGTCTGATGAGGGCCAGCATGTCGTTGCATCTCCTTGAGAACGTTTCGGGCACGAACTTTCGGTCGCTGTCTTTTCGGCATCTCTTCGGGTCGATGCACATACACAAGGCCTCTGCGAGTGCTCCCCATGATGGTCCCGCACGTCGTTTTGGTGCTCTTTTCAGGTACCTTACTTGGCCTGCTCTGTCCTGCATAATCTTATCGACGATGTCGGGCGAGCCGCACAGGCGGGGGAGGAACGCCCGATCTGCTAGCCAAGCTTCTCACTGTACTCGCTCACACTGCATGCCGCCATCTTCAGCCGCCTGCGCGAGCCCCTCCTCCCACTGCTGCAGCGTCATGCCTTCGCGGGGGGCGAAGATGAATCTCTTCTTCGGCCCTCTGCCTGCGTTGGACAGCTTCACCCGCAGTCGATGAGCTTCTGCCATCTTCCTTTTCTTCCACGCTGCGTTGATCTCCTGCGCGAGGCTCGTTGTTTTCCTCCGCCTTTGCTTTCTTCTGACGTGTTGTAGCTGTCGTGGTAGCTGGTGCAGTCTTGCCTCGATGCGGTCGAACTCTGTTGACCCCTCGCCGTCGCGCGTCTTGGAGCCCGTCTGGTGAACCGCTTCCCTCAGGCGCCCTCTTTTTTTCAATAACAGAACCCGTTCTTGTCTCATTTGTTCGTACTCTGCCATGTCGCGCGCTACTTTGGGGAAACTGTCTGCCATGGCCTGCCGAATGCATGATGATAACCTGTCCCAGCACCCCTGCACGCCCCCTTGGCCCCACTTGCTGCGCCACTTCTCTTCGCTGATGTCGCCGGCGTGCTGCTCGACTTTTTGTGGAAACTCCACCCGTCGTATGCCGTCGCTGCATGCCCCCATTAAGCTGCCCCTGTTGGCTGGCGGCGTCAGCTTGGGGATGTGGGCATGCGTGACGGGGATGTCCAAGTTCACGAATACTGGTACGTGGTCATGCAGGTGTGTGCTGACGTGTCTTTGTAGTCGTCGCGCTAGTCCCAGCAGCGGGTGTGTGTTGCCGAATCCGCCCGAGGCTCTCAATAGGCACTTCGATGTGATAGATCTTGCTCTTATGCGTACCCTTGTAGAAAGTTGGCCCCGTGGTCCAAAATGTGCCCGCCATGGCCAGGTAGCTGATTTGGAGGAAAGCGCGTACCTGCGTGCTCGTTTTGCTCTCGATTGCGGGCTCTTTTATGCCGACATTCTCCGACTCTGTCTTGAATCTTCGCCCAGTCCGATCTGTCTGCCATCCAAATCCGCAATTGTAGCCGCTGCAATAATCGGCATACATGAACATCCCAGTTTGTCAACTTCTCTCTCGATCCAGTCCAGGATACATTTTTGTGGTAGCTCTCAGCATTGTAACTGCCAGCCCCTTCGGTGGTATGTACATAGGGCAAAATGCCAAGCTAGTACTGCCCAAATTGAACTGTGCCATCGCAACCCGCCTTGTGATACCCAAATGTGGCGGTGGCGTGGCAACTCTCGTAAGTGTTCCTCGAAATCTTTTCCCATACATGATATTCAATCCGCACGAGTTGTTCGTGGTCTTCGATCGTCTCCATCCGACATTCACTACTTGATGATGCGGGAGCTGGCATTTGGTAACGTCCGCTTGCCTCGCTGCTCTCCACCTGTGAGGATATCTCTTCCGTCCTCGTAAAATCTGCCCAATGAACATTATGAAATATCAACTTCATTCATTAAGCGAGTGTGTGGGGGAGTGTGGTTGCGCTGCTGCTGCTGCTGCCCGAATGGCACCGTCCCTCTGCTCTGCCCTGGCTTCCTGCACAAAGAAATGTGGTGTGCAAGGCTGGCCTTGGGGGAGCACGCGGGCGATTGCGCCTGGGCGGCTCCTGGGAGGAGGAGGAGGAGGAGGAGGAGGAGGAGGAGGAGGAGGAGGAGGAGGGGGGAGGAGGGAGGAGGGAGGAGGGAGGAGGGAGGAGGGAGGCGGGAGGAGGGTGACCGTAGTGCAGCTTGTTGCGAGGCTGCGTGCTCCTGGCATGCTGGAGGCACTCGCGGCGGAGGTCGGCGAGAAAAGCCGGGCGGGCGGCGGGTTCCTCGAGAAGACGGTGCAGGCAATCGGGGGCCAGGATCAGCTCTCGCAGGCTGAGTTCGAGTCCATCCTCGAGGACATCGTGCAGTCCGAGGAGAGCTCGAAGGACCCCGTGGGCTGAGGGGAGGATCGAGAAGTTCCAGGGGCGCTTGGTCTGAGTTTGGGGGCGCGGGGGGGGGTCCCTCCTCGGTGCCGCCCCTGGGATCAACCTCCCCTGCGCTCGGGGGGGAGGCGGGAATCCAGGGGGCGCCGTTTGGCACTGTCTGCGGTTGCAGGCGCTACGCAGGGGGACCGCCCCCTCTCGCGGGTAGCGATTGAGCACGCTCCACTTTCTCATTCGACTCATTTGCTTCCTCTTCCTCTTCCTCCTCATCCTCCTCCTCCTCCTCCTCCTCCTCCTCCTCCTCCTCTTCCTCCTCCTCCTCCCCCTCCCCTCTCTCCTCCTCCTCCTCCTCCTCCTCCTCCTCCTCCTCTCCTCCTCCTCCTCCTCCTCCTCCTCCTCCCTCCTCCTCCTCCTCCTCCTCCTCCTCCTCCTCTTCCTCCTACTCCTACTCCTACTCCTACTCCTCCGCCTCCTCCACCCACTCCTTTTCCTGTTCCTCCTCCTCGTCCTCCTCCTGCTACTCCTCCTCCTCCTCCATTATTTTTCCTTATAAACAACTTCTCCCTGTCGCACCCCGAGACCAGTTTTAGGGCGGGCCGGGCGATCCGCCTGGGGCTCCCTCACCAGTCATGACTCTGAAGCTCAGACATTGGCAACGGCTTCACAGATGGAGGGCGGGTGGTTTTCAAAATATGGCTCTCGCCCCAGCGCCGCGCAAATTCAATTCAAACGTTTGCAGGAGCTTCACGGATTGAGGGCCACCCGTTTTCAAAATGTAGTTCTCGCCCCAGCGCCGCGCAAATTCGTTTTAAACTGTTGCAAGAGTTTCACGTAGTGAGGGCCACCCGTTTTCAAAGTGCGGCTCTCGCCTTAGCTCCGCGCACAGTCATACTAAAAGTTCGCCAAGAGCGTCACGGTTTGAGGGCGGTTTCTTTTCAAATATGGTTCTCGCCATACCGCTGCGCACATTCGCACTCAACACATGCAAGAATTTGACGGATGTCTAAGGTCAACGTACCAGAAACGGTGTTTGGGAAGGATGCGGGAATATGCGGGTTGAACAGCTACGTTGATTCGCGGTGTTGAAGTCCCAGGAATGGCGTTCTGACACGACGCAGGATCGTCAAGACGCAACAGTCAGATTGATCCGTGGCGTTGGAATCCCGAGAATAATGTTGTGGCACGCTTCAGAGTTTTCAAACGGTTGTCTTCCAACGAAGCAGCCCCCTCAATGAAAATGAGCCATTGTAGAGGCCTATGGAGGGGGAGCGTTTAGGGAGGGTATATTCCAACATCGTTAATGAATATTGGGCTTACGCTGGTCCACGTCCTCCTCCTCCTCTTAGTCCTCCCTCCTCCTCCTCCTCCTCCTCCTCTTCCTCCTCCTCCTCCTCCTCCTCCCCCTCCTCCTCCTCCTCCTCCTCCTCCTCCGCCTCCCCCCCCCTCCTCGTCCTACATACACGCACGGCGAACAAAGGAGTGCAACAAGCCTAGCTCGAAGCCTCCTGGCGCCCCGATCAAAAGGGATACGGCGCGGGCACGACACCGTGCCAAGAAGCTATGGAATTACGGGAAGACCACCTCTCGCTCCAGCTGGCTGCAAAGTGTGCTCCCCAACTCGACCCGCCAAGGCCTTGAGATGCGAGTCCATCGCGGGTACGGCAACTTGCAGGCTCTTAATTGGCGGATCTGGTGTTTCTTTATGTTGGTGCAGCCCGCCGCCAAGTCGACCGCTCTCCCTGTGGAGTACAATCCGCACTTCAGACAGAAAACGACTGGAGCACCCGACGTCTGCATCTGAGCTCCCCAAAGGACATGGGGAGGCGTCGATTGGTCCCCACAGGTCAGAAGATGAACGAGCGAGCTGGGCAACGGGGCACAAGGGCGGCGGTGGCAGACCCATGGAAGGGCAGTCGATCTGCCACAGTGGATGCACTGCCACCTATTTAAAGCCCAACGGAAATCATGTACGAGGCGCCGTGGGGCCTTGGGGGTCCAGGCTGCGGTTTTTTTTCGGGAGCTCGCCAAAGACATCCCTCGATGTGCCTCTAGACCCCAAGACAGAAGTAAAGGCATGAAGACCCTGCAGCCATTTTTGTAGTCCGCTTCAACAACTTCGATGTCGTTCGGTCTGAGCTGACGTTTGGCAATTTCCTTAGCAAGGGCGTCGGCCAACGCATTGGCAAGGATCCTCCTGTGTTCGACTAGGGGGTCTCTCTCCCCTAAACAGGCTCTGGCGGGCCTTGATGTTCTGGATGGTCCAACCTCGAAAGTTAGTGAGCTGAAGACTATGCCTCCAATGACCAACCTGCTGTCGGCGGCCATCTCTCGCACGAATTGGTACCGCAGCTCCATGGACTACCGCCGCACAGTCCTGGAGGATACGAAACTGCTGCTCCTGCGGGGCAAGGTGAGCGCAGACCTGGGGCAACCCGTGGTGCTCAGACAGATTCGCATTGCACGGAACAAAACCTGGAAGAACTCCTCTGGCCGACCTTCTGAAATCCCCTAACTGGTCCACCTCTGCAGCACACCAACCCCCCGCGCAAGCAACGGGATCGGTGGGTGCACAACGGAACCGTCCACTGAAATCTCGGACTCGGGATCGTCAGAGGCGAAGGGTTCGATTTTCCTTTTTTGTCAAGATATGCAATGATCTCCTGCATAGGCGGGGGATTGGCAATGGCAGGCTGTCCCAGCCACAAGCAACTGGAGAGGGGGTCTTGCGGTCCCGCATCCAAAGCTTCCTGAGCCAAGCCTGGGTCAAGCTCTTGGCGACGAGGCTCCCCATGGGGACAAAGCCAGACCCTGTGAAAAGGTGCTGTCAATGGAGTCGCAGTGCTTACGCTTTGGATCCACCTGGTATCCTCGCCTGTGCAGCGGAGCGGCAGTCGGGCAGCATCCCGTAAAGACCTGCCGCAAGACCTGCTTGTCCTGTACACTGTGCTTGGTCGAATTCCAAGCTCGTGAGACTGGGTGGGGCCAAAGTCCCCTCTTCTTAATGGCTTCAGCCCTGTCCGATTCGACCCCTTGGAGTTTTTCACGGACGGTCCCTTGGAGCAGCGACCTCTGGAGGTCTTTGCCAAACAAATCCGAAATCTGGGAAGGCGGGGCCAGCGTCATGTTACATTTGATGCCTTGGGCAGTGGTCACGTTAGCATGGTCTACAAACTTCCATGGAACTTGCGTGCACCTGAAAAACCTATCGCTCAGCGGACTGTTGGCCACAAGATGCCAACGGTCCTTCTTGGCATGGGCGGTGAACCTGCGCTGTGCCAGTTCGTACGCCTCTTTTAATTCCCGAGCCGAGAGCGCACCCTTGGCGCAAAAATCAGCGTCGGTAGTTGACCACCACTCAGCTCAGAACCGTTTGAGAGTGGCCCCAGCGTGAACCACTGGGTCTTTACTAGGCTGGAGGCACCAGGCAAGGTCCAGATTCGCTCCCGCTCTCCTCCTCCTCATCCTCCTCATCCTCCTCCTCCTCCGCTTCCTCCTCCTCCGCTTCCTCCTCCTCCTGCTCCTCCTCCTCCTCGTCTTCCTTCTCCTCCACCTCCTCGTCCACCTCCTCTGAATTGTCTCCTCCTCATTATCCTCTTATCCTGAGAATTATTATGATTGTGATTCGTAGTGGGGCGATTGTTAATTATGTTTGATTCGTCGATTAGTATTAATAGCATTGTCAAACTTACTATAACTAGTACTGCT